CAAAAAAAAAAAAAAAAAAAAAAAACAGAGAGAGAGAGAAAAAGATTAAGAGCTGCAATGATTTTCAAGTAAACTTACAGATTAACACAAGTTTTTTGCTGTTGTTGTTTTATTTTGGTACTAGGGATCAAACTCTGATCTTTGAGTTTGCAAGGTAGGCACTGAAACCACTGAGCTAAATCCCCAGCTTTGTTGTTTTTTTAGACAGGGTCTCACTGTGTAACCTAGGCTGGGCTTAAACTCGAAGCAATCTTCTTGCCTCAGCCTCCTGAGCGCTGGTATCACAGGTGTGCAACACCACACACAGCAACACTAAAGTTATTTTTAAAAGACGGGCTTAAATATAACAAGCACTCACAAGAGATTCGTCCACTGAAAGCTGATTAACAGAACATCTCACTGCATTTTTCTGCCAGGGTACAGGGAGTATTACCTAGTTCCTGCCTTGGGAAATGAGCCAGTGCTGTGGAATGGTGCGCAGACTCTCCCAGTTCCTCCTCCTCCACATTAGGGGCCTCCGCTGGCTGCTGTAGAGCTGGGTGGCCTCTGTCCCCCGGCCTCCTGGGCTGGCTATGCGCAGACCACTGACTGTCAGCCATCTGGGCCTCGGGAGGGGGCGACCTGGAAAGACAAGGGAGGGAAGACAAGGTTGAAGATGCACCATATCACCAAAGGCAAGACACCAGTGAAACAGCTCACTGTCCGGGAGATGAGCGAAGCCCACGCCACAGGCTGGACGCCGTCAGCCCCAAGGCAGGGCTGACTGACACACTCCTCGAAGGTGGTGGAGAGCTGCTCGGGAGCCTGGCAGCAGCTCTTCCTAGGTCACCTGCTGCCACCCAAATTCCGCACGTGTCCCACCAAGTGCAAAGGGACCCCCGCAGGCAGATCTCTTCCAGACAGGAGGTTGATTAACGCTGATATCTCCATGCTCATACTTTCTACCTGATTTTGGCACGATTTATGGAATCACTCTTCTTCCTTGCCTTTCCCGTATCTAAAAATCACCCTAAAAACGACACCAACTTAGGCCCAACGGTGTTGCTCTGTGGGGATGTACCCAGCTAGTGTGCATAGCCTGGGGTTGGACCCCAGCACTAGGGGAAAAAAAACAACTCTTCAATCTCATTACAAAAGCATTTGGGCCCAGCAAGCAGTTCTTCTATTCTTCCAGCTAGTTAGAACTTTGCAAAATAAGGTCACTGTCAGGGCAGGACATGTAGCTCAGTGGCAGAAGACCTGCCTGGCATGCATGAGGCCCTGGGTTTGATTCCCACAAACCCTAGTATTAAAAGAAATAAAGAAAGAAAACAACAACAAAAAAAGACCATCAGTAGTTGGAAAGGGCTCAGAGATCACTGAACTGAAATAATTCCTGGGCTCTTACTAGGAGCCAGGTGTTGAGGCCACAACTCCTTGTGGCCCAAAGATGAGCAGGACCCGGACTATTGCTCGCAAACAGAGGGAGGAGCTGGGGATTTAGCTCAGTGGTTTCGCTGCCTGCCTTGCAAACTGAAGGTCCTGAGTTGATTCCTGATACCACCAAAAAAAATAGGAGGGGAGCCCATTGGTGTGTAGGTTCCGGGACAGAAATCTCTCCACAGTATCTGTGGTGGGAGGAGGCCCAGGACTGTTCTGTCTATTAAAATGGGCAGGAGCTAGGCATGGTGGTGCAAGCCTGTAATCCCAGTACTCGGGAGGCTGGGGCAGGAGGATCACTGAGTTTGAGATCAGCCTGGGCTACACAGTGAGTTCCAGGTCATACAGAGTGAAACCCTGTCTCAAAAAACAAAACACACACACACACACACACACACACACACACACACACACAAATGGCTAAGTCCCTAGTACCGAAAAAAAAGACACAAAAGGGCAGCCAGCTCACCTGGTCAAAGCACACCATGGAGGTGGTTTTAGCACCCACAGAAGCCAGGTCATTTTATCCTTGGTCACAAATACAAGGGCAATCAGTAGCCTGGCCTCAAACATGTATCCTTAGTTCTAAACTCGAAGGGCTTGGAAAAGATGGTGTGGTTAATTACTGACAATGCACGGTCCTCACGCTGTAGCTCACGCTTGTATGTGAAACCCTAACCCAGTTAAAGGACATGTCCCACAGCAACGAGAGCTTATAAACGTCAGAGCTCAAAACACTGTAGAAAGTCGGGGAGAAAAAAATCACCAGTCAGAGTCCGATGTAAGTAAAAACATCACCTCCACAGCCACAGCCTGATGTTTCTCACCTTCCAGCTCCTGGCTCCTTATTTTCACTGGTGAGATGATCTGGGGACACTTGGTGCTTGTCAGAAGAACAGGCTCGGAGACTCTGGCTTACAGGATATTCAATACATCTCTTCGAGGTTAATCCTATTTTAAACGGAACAAGAGAACAAAGACACCTACTTTCCTTCCCTGTCCTGGTGGCTACAGTCCAGGTGAGGATTTTTTTTTTTTTTTTTTTTGGTGGTGCTGGGGACTGAGCCCAGGGCCAATGTACTGAGTCACACGCCTAGACCTTTTAACTTTCAGATAGGCTCTTGCTAAGTTGCCCAGGCTGTGGCTGAACTTGTGATCCTGTCCCAGCCTCCTGCAGTGCTGAGATTACAGGCATGCACCACCATGGCTGCCTAAGATACTGATTTCTATTTGTTTTATTTTTTTCTGTTTTGGTACCAAGGATCGAACTCAGAACTTTTGCACTCACCACCAGTGAGTATCAAATTTTGTGTGTGTGGTACTCAGCATTGATCCTATGGGCACTCTACTACTGAGCTACACCCTTAGTCCTTTTTTTTTAAATGATTTTTTGGGGGGTACTGGGGATCGAACTTGGTTCTTGTGCTTGCAAGGCAGGCAGTGGAACCACTGAGCTAAATCCCTGGCCCAGATCTTTTTTAAATTTTGAGGCAGGGTTTCACTTAATTCCCAGGCTGCTTCAAACTTACGGTCATCCTGCCTCAGCCTCTTAAATCACTGGGATTCCAGGCATGAACCACTACACCCAGCTCAGATTGTTTCTTAAGCAAAAAGCAATATACGGGACAGAACTTGAAAGACACAAATGATGTAGCAGACAAATGCTAACACCAAATGGAAGAGGCCAGGGATTTAGCCCTGTGGTTCCACGGCCTGCCTCACAAGCATGAGTTCGACCCCTGGTATTCAAAAAAAAAAAAAAAAAAAAAAATCCAAATGGAATAAATTATTTAAATAATACAAGGACCATTTTAAAACTGGGAAAAGAAAGACACTCAGCTGAGATAGGGCTGAAAATCATCTATTCTAATTTCTGGGCCCTCATGCTCGCTCTGGCAGCACATATACTAATTTTGGGGCCCTGAATTATAAGAAATCAAAACAATATAAGAAGCTTTTATCTGTGTAGCAAACTAAGTTAGATCCATATCCCCTCAGGTAACAGGGAAAAGCCCTGGACAGCACAAAGCGCATTCCCTGCTACATGCTGGCAGCCTCCAAACTGACTGAGCAGGACGGCGGAACCTGTGCATGGCTATGTGGGAGGGAGTTGGAGAGAAGAGACAGGTGACCAGTGTTCCACATTCGCTATTACTAGAAAAGAAAATCAGAACATAAATAAAAACTCCCCAACAAACTAAACACACACACAACACACACAGTGCTCCGTGACAAGGAACTCATGGTGAAGCGGCACCAGAGGGGGAAAAGCACGACAGACAGCTTCAGGCAAAGCTCTGGCCTGTCAGAACAGTTTTTTTCTTTTACTGACTGATTATTTTTAGTAGCTGGGACTGGACCCAGCAGGGGCTTGCGGGCCAGGTGGGTGCATCAGCAGTGACCTGCGTTCCCAACCCTTCGCACTGTATTCTGAGACAGGCGTGGTCTTGCTGAGTTGTTCGGGCTGAGCTTGAACCCACCACCCTCCTGGCTTAGACTCCTGAGTAGCTGGAGTTTTAGGTCTGTGCTGGTCTGTAATTCCTCCAAATGTATGTGCTACTGTCTTCTGGGAGGAAAAGATGTTTGCACAGCAAAAACAAATAGTTAACGATTACAGATGTCTTCTGTCTGTTACAATTACTGATGACTGTCATTCATTTTGAGCTTTTATTAAAAAAGCTAAAATCCATAAATGGAGGAGAAAAATTGAAACAAAAGGTTGTATGAAACTCCTTTTTAAGACAGTGGTTAGCCGGGGGAAATAATCATTGATTTCCTGAAATAATCTTCACATGCATTATTTATGTTTCCTTTATGTTCCTCTTTCCTGGACCTGATCTCGGCACAGGAGGACTCTGCCTGAAGCTACTGGCTGCGGAAGCAGGGCTGCCCCGTGCTAAAGGCGTTGTCACCATTCCCCAAACAGTGATAACCGAGAAAAGGCAGCACGCAGCTGCCGAAGAATTAACCACTGCAGAGCGTGCCGGGAAAAGTGAAGACTCTGCACACGACTCCAGCTATTTCAGTCTCTGGGCCGGAGATGTACTTAATTCCTCTGCTCTCCATCCTCACCCTTGCTTCACTCTGAGCGAGCCCAGTCCAGGCCGGGACACAACCTCGCGGTCTGGCTTAGGAGGCGCTATGTGGGGATCCTGCCCAGGTGGGAGCACACCCTGAAGTGCCCCCAATGCCACCCCTGTGTTCTAACACGCTGCGCTCCCCACGGGCAGGGAACATGGGCTGGGCCAGAGATTCAGTAAATTTGCTGCAGGTGTCCTGCAGAGTATTGGGAAAATCAAGGAGAAAGCACTGGGGAGGGAGGAGGCCAAACTCTGAGGCACAGCTCCCAGGGCGGAAGTCAGCTTTGACAAGCACATAACCCAATCACCCAGTTGATGAGCTTAGGAATTCTTTTTTGTTGTTGTTTTTTTGAGACAGGGTCCCACTATGTAGTTGAGACTGACCTGGAACTCACTGTGTAGCCCAGGCTGGTCTTGAACTCATAGTGATCCTCCTGTCTCAGCCTCCTGAGTGCTGGGATTACAGGCATGCGCCACCACATCCAGCAAGCCTAGGAATTCTTAACAAGCACTTCCAGGAACAAAAGGATGGAGAGGATGGGATGGCTCAGATGTGCCTGGGAAGTCACTGCTGCTCCAACAGGCTGCGACCTCACAATGCTAGTTCTTGCTTTAGGTGACAGGAAATCCAGGTGGGTGGGCTGCCAGGGAAAGAGCTTCGCCCGTGGAAAGGGACATAGGTACTTCAGGGGAGCACACACATCTGCACTCAGATACCTGGCGGGCTTGGGAATGACCCCGACAAACAGGTCTTTGCTGAGGAACAGGACACTGCAGCGAAAGGGCTCTCATCACCCCTCCTATTTTTTCCCCAAGACAAGACAGGGTCTGGCTACGTAGCCCAGGCTGGCCTTGCACTTGTGCTGGTCCTCCTGCCTCAGCCTCGAGCGCAGGAATCACAGGTGTGCGCCACCACATCAGTTCTGTCATCACCTTCAAGAATTGTGGAACTTGGCTGCGTGAGGTGAGGCACACCTATAGTCCCAGTTATGCAGCAGGCCAAGGTGGGAAGATAAAAGCTCTGGGGTGCCAGCCCGGGCAACGGAGCAAGGGCTAGAATGTCGCCCTGTGAGAGTCCTTACCTAGCATGTGCGTGCCGGGCTCCACCCGCACGCTGTGTGGGGGCATCCCTAGGACTGACAGCACTCACACAGAGGAGGAAAGGCTCAGAACTTGGGTTGGGACAAAGTATTTACTCAACACTCAGAATGTTTCAGAAATGAAGCCACAAAGGAACATTATTGTAAGACGAGACAGCAGATTACGCAGATGCTCAGGGCCGGTGACAGCTCGTATCTTGTGCTTTAGAATCCAAGTCCAGCCTTTCCAGAGCCCCCAGAGTGCAGAACCACACTGGGGACAGGACTCAGGCTTCCTATCTGGGGTGAACTAAATGAAGACATCGTTACAAAGACAGCATTCAAGAAAATAATCTTGACACCCTGCCACAGCAACAGGGTTCCCTGGCTCCTGTGTGAGTTACTGTTTCTTCCTGAACACAGGATTATGCGAGACAGACTTGGGGCCCTGGCCCCTGTGCGCGCGCTACTGGACAGGCAGGTGTCTCTGAGGCTCAGGATGTCTCCACACTCCTCCAGGAGGCCAAGCGGGGAAGTGCTGGGGAAAGGGCTTGAGCACCAGGCGCTGCCTCACCTTTCTCCTCCTCCTCCCTCAGCAGTGGGGATTGAACCCAGGGCCTCTGCACTGAGCCACATCCCTAGCCCAGGCCGAACTCAAATTTGTGATCCTCCAGTCTCAGACCCTGAGAATGCTGGCGTGTGTCACCACACTGCCTCTCTTCTATATGCCAGCTATCTGTCTGTCTGTCCTGGGAATTGCACTTAGGGGCTTGCCCTTGCCAGGCAGGTACCACAACACTGAGCTACATCCCTGGCTCAGCTATTTATTTTTTAATTTTTAAAATTTTCAGACAGGGCCTTGCCAGACTGGCCTCAAACTTGTGAAAATCCTCCTGCCTCAGCCTCCCCAGTGCTGGGACTATAGGCGTGGATCACCACTGGGCTCAGTGTTTGTCCCTTTTAAAAACTTCCCTAAGCTCCCGTCTCCCCATTTAAAAACTGAAAGTTCAGTTCCTGAAGTAGAGATTTCTTCCTTTAAATATGAAAGCATATTATACTGATCTAAGAGTAGTCTAAGGTTCTTTCCTTCTACAGCTTTCTGAACTGATGAGATCTGTGCCCCGTCACACCCAGCTTCTCCGGGTGGGCTCCCCAGCTGTCAGAGTGACTCTGATGGCTGCCGCTGAGCAGCACACGGGTTGTGAGCAGGGATTAGAACTGCGGTGATTCAGTACCGACGTGCCGAACAGAGACCTGCAAACGCCGGCACGACGCAGGCATGCTCAGAAGGCGAGGAGGGTGCAGGGAGGGAGGGCTCTGCTCAGGGTCCCAGTGTGTGGCCCGTATGGCAAACCTTGTCCCGGTGTGTGTTGTCCCAGGGTCACCGGGTCCTTGGCGGGGCAGGAGTCGGGTACGATGGAGGCGGAGCTGTTGGAGCACTGGCTCCCATGCCGCTCCAGCACGGCTTCCAGGTGGGCCATTTCCTGCTGCAGCTTGAGCAGGTTGTCTTGGATGGTGTTCCTCTGCTGAAAAACAAGTCACACTGTGACAAACCTGCCCTGAAGCGAAAACATGCCACAGCAATCAACGTTAGCACAGGAATGGACACACACAGTCGTTAAGTCTCGGGTGACCACCTTTCAATCTAACCAGTCATACAAATCACCACCCCGGGCTGGGCGTGGTGGCGCACGCCTGTAATCCCAGCATTTGGGAGGCTGAGGCAGGAGGATCACTGCAAGTTCGAGACCAGCCTGGGCTACATAGTGAGTTCCAGGTCAGTATCAACTACATAGTGAGACCCTGTCTCAAAAATTAAAAAAAAAAAAAAAAAAAAAAAACAAACAAATCACTACCCCAGAACTCTTTCCAAATGTTAGAGGAGGAAAATTCCTCCCATTCTCCCGCATAGACCTGAGTGGGGGCTGGAGGTGTGGCTCAGTGGTAGAGCACTTGCCCTGTGTGAGGCCTTGGGTTCCATCCCCAGCAAGGGAAATAAAGGTAAAAACAAACAAACAAACAAAAACCACAGAAAGAAAGTTAGGGTGTGAAAAAATAAGGTACTTAAACACTATCTCAAAGTAGCATGAGTCTGTTAACATTCTACTCAGGCTGTTTCAAATACTTGGCACTGAGATTCATAAGCCATTTAGGTTACTCCATGTAAAATTATGTGATTTGTTAGTAGCCAAGTGTTGTGCCACACACCTATAACCCCTCAGAAGGCTGAGGCAGGAAGATCACAAGTTTGAAGCCAGTCTGTGCAACAAAGTGAGGTCCTGGCTCAAAATAAAAAGTGCTAAGGTATAGCTTGGCGGCAGAGTGCTTGCCTAGCATGAACAATGCCCTTGCATTCAATCTCCAGAACTGTACAACAAGAACTTTTAAACTGGTAAATCCTGATAAATTGCTTACATGTTCTCTGGCATTTTAGAAAAGCAGTCAGTAATCTTGCCTGGATGGGTAACCCTGCCTTGAGGCAGAAAAATTAAAAGGTGAATTCAGCTGTCCCTCAGTGCATCCGACAACTCTATCATGCCAGGCTCTGTCCTGGCACTGGGCACGTAGCCCTCATGCCATTCTAGAAGGGACAGGAAACGAGCACTCATCAGATAAAGAGCAGCTGGAAAGGAATCTTCCTGAGGGCCCTGGAAAGCCTGAAGAACAGGCTCAAGGTCAAGCATCTTCTTGCTTCTGGGCCTCCTATTGCTCATATCTAAAGTGCTACAGGCCTGGTGGTACACACCTGTAATCCCAGTGCTCAGAAGCCTGAGGCAGGACGATGCTACCTCAAGGCCAGCCTGAACCATATAGCAAGACCCACAAAACAGTGCTAAAGAAGTGCTATATCTAATGTAGTTGTTAAGTAACTTAGGCAATAAGGAATTTTCTGGGGTATTTTCTTCATCCCTGGATTACCGGCACTTGTCAGCAAGCTGGGAGGAGGAGTGCAAACACAAACTGTTCCACCCTCTGTTTCTTCTGCGGATCCGCGACAGTGATGTTGCCCGCTACTGAAAAGAGCTATCTTCTCTCTCCACCTGCCCTGAGTTCATAGTTTTCAGGCAGCTCGGAACATCGGAAAATGACCTTCCAGTCCCACAAAGGTTTGTGAGTCCTGGGCTGGCTTTGCTGCCCCCACATGGTGCCCAAGAGCACTGACAGTCTGGCCTGAATCCCCTGTCCTGTGCGGGGCGGTGGGTTCCCACAGCAGGAAAGCAGAACAAACATCAGTGTCACCAGCAGAGCTAGGGAACTCCACCTTTCCCTAACAAATGGGCCTAATGCACCAGGGAGGGCAAAACCACCCAGGGCTCCCAAGTGAGTGCAGCACCTCTCTTCCTCCCACCCGCACTCCGCCCTCCACCTCACCCACTCGGCCGCATCATGGCCCAACTCCCTCTCCCTAAGACCACTCGGAGGAGCTAATGCCTTCTGAATGCAGCCTATTACCACCGCCAAGTCCCAGCTGCACAGGTCAGTTTGGTGCCCTCTGTGCGCTGGGCGCCTCTGAACCATGTAGAAAACCTCCCACCCTTCACGTCCCAACAGTGACCTGTCCCCCAGGAGTAGGGGACCCCTCGTTTTGTGGGCCACACTAAGGCATTCATTTACCCAGGTGGGACACAGGCTCCCCTAGTGGGAAGAAGCACCCTTCGATTGTGCTGTCTCCCAGACAGAAGTGGATCAGCAACTGATCCACGCTGGAGTGAAGGGATGTTCCTGGCCAGACTCAGTCCGGGTCAGGCGCTCGCCACTGCTGTGTCCTCCTCAGTCCCTCCTACCACAGGGAGACCCGGCTCGGCCCTGTCCTGTTTTACCTCGGACTCCACACAGCCCCAGACCTGACATAAGCTCTGCTTTCAATAGGTGCTTGATAAAAACCCTTGTAAAAACACATCCTGAACAAATAGGCATAACTCAGGGATGCAAAAACAGCAGTTTACTGAATGTCAAATAGAACACAGTATGGCTAAGGCTCACGGAATAAAAACTGGAAGCAGAAAAACCCTTTAAACACAAGGGACAGAAACAGGTGACAGGCACACTGACCCAGCCCCAAGTCCACATCCAAGAAGGATCGGAGGGACTGCAAGAAAGAAAAGCCCCCCATCGACCAGTAAGTCACCATGGCGAAGGGTCCTTGGCGGTGAAGGCCAGGGTCCCGGGAGAAGCCATGCTCCCTTGATCTGTAGGCAGCACAGCAGAGCCAAGACCTGGGAGACTTTGCAAGTGGACGCAGGAAATAGCTGTCACACCGCAGGGGCTGGAGGAGCAGTTGGGCTTAGGGTTTCTAAAGAACCACCTGCTCTGTACCAGACAAAAACGCCAATGCTGGGCATTTAGACTAAGGAAATCACTAGGGATCGGGGACTGTTTAACTACCAGGGTGGCCACTGCAGTGGAGCACGCAGTGCACACTGTGACTCTTGCCCTGAAAGCCTCAACATTTAGCACTTGCTGGAATATGTCACGGTCTGTCCAGAGGACTGAGGGCTACACAGACCAAAGTCGCTGTAAACTGGAATAGCAGGCCGAAAGCCAGGCTACAACGGAGGAATTCAGCAAACTGCAGTATTCAGATGTCTTCTGAAGACAAGGTGTAGGGCTGAGGTGTAGCTCGGGGTAAAGCAAAAGGGCCTAGACTCAGACTAATTACTAGTGTGAGGTCCAAGATTCAGTCTCCAGTACACAGAAGAAAGGAGGGAAGGAAGGAAGGAAGGAAACAGACAGACAGACGGAGAGACAAAGAGAGGTAGGTATGGTATGCAGACACCCATATGTAGGCACAGAAAGAAGGCTGGAAGGGTAGATCAGTAATATAAGCATGGGCCGGGGATTCAGCTCAGCGGTGCTGCAGCCTGCCTTGCAAACACAAGGACCCAAGTTCAATCCCCAGTACAAAACAAAAACACACTCATATGTGAGCATTTCTGGATAGTTTGTAGAATTTAACTAATTTTAGGCATGCAGCGCAGTAATACAAAGCACGTCTACCTTGTGTAACTGACCATTTCCAAACCTCCCACTGAGGATGGAACCCAGGGCCTCACGTGCCAGGTGAGTGCTCCCCAAGTCACACCCCAGCCCCGACTCAGTAAGCGGCCCAGGCGGGCCTCAAACCTGTAACCCTCCCACCGCAGCTGTCTCCAGAGTGCTCACCCTCCCACCCATCAGGCAACAGCTCTCACTGTCCTCTTGAAGCCTAGGTGATCACTATTCCACTTCCTGCTTCCCTGGATTTGACTACTTCAGGCACCTCGTGGAAGTGGAATTATAAAACAGCTGCCCTTGGGTGTACAGCTTATTTCCGTGATCATGTCCCTGAGGTTCCTCCATGGATGATGACTGTTCATCCAAGCTTTCCTATGAGGAAGACGAAGGCAATCATTTCTTACTTTCCATGCTGGGGACTAAACCCAGGACCATCCTGCAGTTTTCAACACTGCAGGCTGGGGCATGCAGCTCTGTGCTGCAGCGCGTGACTAGCATGGTGCGGCCCTTGGTTCCACCCGCACCTGCACCCCGGAAAGTTGTGACACGGAACACTTTTGCTAGGAGCTTGTCTTGTCTGGACTACAGAAATGTTCGTGTAGATGGGATAAAACGTACTTCCTTTGACAGTAATCAAGTTATTGGCATTTGGTATGTCCAGTAAGTCAAATCTATACCTCTTTCTTTATAAAATGATATTTGAGCACTAAAGATGAAACTAGTAGATTATAAAAGAGAAAAAACAAAGAAAACATCCACAAAACAGAGAAGGGCTAGACTAACAGGAAGAAAACCCTGTGAAAGCTCTGGTTTGGTACCAAATATAAATATTCATCTTTTTTTTTTCTTTTTTCAAGGCTGGGATTGAACTCGGGGCCTTGCACATGTGAAGCAAGTGATTTACCACTGAACTGTAGCCCGGCTCTTCTGTTCTACTCTATTTGACTATATTCGATTCTGAGAAAGGGTCTTGCTGATTTGGACAGGCCGGTTTCAGGTCTGTGATCCTCCTGCCTCAGCCTCCTCAGTCCCTGGGATTACAGGTGTGCGCCTCTACACCCAGCCCACAACCCTCGCTTGACACAATGACACCTTCATCTACTTTTTTGACAGGGCAAGTGGACATTCCAGGGCTACACGCTGAGTTCAGCGCTCCTCCTTGTGCCTGAGCTACGTGATGTTCCTTCATGGATAGAACCAAGGGCAGCGTGAGGCGCTCACATCCCCGAGACACAGCAGCATGTCCCACGGTTACATCACCAACTCGAGGGAGGCGTTAGCAGACGTAAGAATGTCACACTCATGTGTACCTGGGTGGTCAGGATGCTGCTCTGTGAGGACAGCCCTGAGCAGCCGTCAGAGGGGTTTGTTTCGCTCTCGTACCCAGAGGCTGTTTCACCTGAAACGGAAACAGAAACAAGTTCTGCACGAGACACGGCGGTGGACACTGCAGCCTGGCAGTGCCGGCTTCGTTTCACAGTCACCCAGCTTCTCGCTTTGTAACACTGGGGTTTTCCCCTAGAAACCCTGACACTAAAGCCGGAGAGGACAATCTACGGAGAGCCAGGACACTAAGGCTCACTGCCGGGCTGCTGACTTACAAGGAAAAGAACCTCACGAGGATGTTGAAGTAGCAGTGGAAACCAACACACGACCCCATTGGGCATAAGCAACCAGCTCGCTTCTATCGAACACCAGCCTGGCTCCATACCCAAGTGAGTCCTTGCCCCGCCCTCACCATCTGAAACCACTTCACGGCCGCTCAGGCTGGCACCCTGGGCTCCAGAGGGATGCCCCTTCAGTTCGGCAGGAGGGCACATCAGGAAGGGATCCTGGGAGATCCTGTCTGCAGCAGAGTCTTCCGGGACGCTGTACTGGGAAGAAAACAGGCTGCCGGAACACCTGATGTCTTCACCCAGCTGAGGCTCCGGGGACACCGGCTCGTTGGCACAGCCTTGTAGGCCGCCTCTCGGAGACTCCAGGTTCTCCTCTGTTCCCAGACACACACGCTCTGTTGCGTCAGGACCGGGCCTGGTAGGCTGAGGAGTAGCGTGTCCTTTACCAAATATTAAATGTTGGAAGCAGGGAAGTTCTTCATCCTCACTGGACACATTTTCTTCAGAAGACTCCAATTTCCTCGCCCCTCTCTGGCGACCCCGAGTCAGAGCTGCATGGGTTAGGGGGCTGGGGCTCCTGTTGAACTGTCTTCTCTGGACACTTCTGCTAAAAACAGCAGAGGTCTCCTTAATGTCACCTTCGGCAAAGCTGGTGTCTTCCTTTCTGTCCTCGCTATCTAACAGGTCATCGGGGGTCTCAGAACAAATCTGAGAAGCAGGACTACCGCCCACGGGCTGTTCCACACTATCTAGAACTAGACAGGGGGAGAAGTCTGCATGCACAGCCCCAGCAACGACTCCACTGACTCCCCGCCTTGGTATGTGAGGCCAGTCGCAGCCCCTCGCAGGCAGAGTCTGCTCCTGGACTTCCGGCTGCATGAGACCTGATCTAAGCACAGCATTTAGTGTGGGCCCCCGGCTTCTCCCTGGTTCTGCTTGCATATGTTCACCGCTGGAGGCGACCTCGTTAGTGCTGGAGCCCGTTCCTGAGATGGCTTCTTTAGCAGCAAGAGCTCTGCTGTTAGTGTGGCCCCCTGTGCTCGCCATGCTTTCAAGGGTGCTCCCACTCCCCGCTGCTTCTTGAGGTGACGTGGAAGGGGTTTTCTTGCACGTACTTTTAACCAATGTCCTGACGGGAGAAACTGATGGCCTATGGCATGGGCTTTGTGGAATTCTGAGTTTGTCAGCAGAGATGAGTTCGGTTTTGTCACCTCCGACCTGAGATGATGGATGGAGCCTTGAGACTCCTGTGACACCACACTGGGCACCAGCACCCGGCTGACCATTCTGAGAAACCACGAGGCCACCCGCGGCAGCATTAGCCGCCTGCACACGCCCGATCTCAGACACTTTCTCTCCCTGACGGTCTTCTGTCTGTTCACATTCAGGAGTGACTTCTGGACTTTGTTTCTTAAGGGCCTCAGAGTGGCTAAAGACTGCTGTAGATCTCTTTTCTGGGTTTCCTGGATTGGAAAACAGAGCAAATGATTGACGATTCGAAGCCTGGAATGTATTCTGCAAACACTGAGTGTCAAGTTCACTGTCTTCCATTTCTACGTTTGCCTCCCGAGCGTGGCTCACATCTCGTCTCAGTGGATCATTAAAACCCTCAGCGCCATCTCCAGAATCTTCAGAGCGAGCAGGCAGAAGTTCCTTGGGCTTTGCGACAGCTACATACTGAGCCACAGGCTGCGGCACTCTCCGTGTCTTCCTGAGGCTGCTGGCTTCCAGTAAGGAGAAACTGTCCTCAGTGCTGTAATCGGTGTCTGGGACCAGGGAGATACTGGTGCTTTCTGCAGATCTCTCAGTCTGCAAACCCCTTTCTCCACTTAAAACTTGATCTTTGGGGCCTCTGGTACTGTCGGACACTTGAACCATTTCTGGGTTCTCTTCTCTCAGTGGGCTAGGGTTGACAAATTCTTTCTCAGGACCTGACCTGTTAGCAGAACTGGGTGTGTGTGCTGGGATGGCCTCCTCGGCCCGTCTTTTCCTTACGTGGTCACCTGGCTTCTTACTTTCCTTGGTTCCAATGGAAGCTTCTACTCTCCCCACAAGGTGCAGCTTTCTGGGGGAGCTTTTTTCCTTAGCTCCTTCAGTGCCGGTACAATTGTCACTTTGCAGTTTGGTGCAATCCGGTGGGCCGGGGTGAGGCACACGCTTGGCTGAGGACCTCAGTCTGCTTTCCTTAGGTGGCTCTGAATGACAGACACACGATTCTAGTCCCCTGCTGCTTCTGCTGTGGCTCTGGAGCTCTCTAGCTCTGGCAGCAGACTCTTTCCCCAGTGACTGTGCTGGGCTGGGGGTCCCCTGTCTCTGGAGACTACCCCCTTCTGGGTCACCCTCATGGCTGTTATTAGGAGTACCTGCCACCTGCCCACTCTCTTGCATCTGCTCTGTCCCCTGATTTATCTTTTCAGGAGTCTTTGGGGCAACTGCCAAGTCTGCTCTCTTGATGAAATCCTCTGGATGAAGGCATGACATGGTTCTCCTCTTACGTTTTAATGTATTTGTAGGGGGGCAACCCTGTGTCACCTGTGGTTGGACAACCAACGCTTCTACAGTTCGATTTTCAGCTACACGGATCGAGCTGGGGAAGCCTGGCTTCCTCTGGTAGGTTTTCCTGAATACTTTATCTTTTGTGTCCTTCCTCCCTGCTTTGGGGCAGACTTGCTCACTAGTGGACAGCAAAGCACTCTGAGGATTGCTGGCCAGCAAGGCTATTTTCTCCAAAGAGCCAGAAAAGCCATCTCGGACTTCTGGATCTCTTAACGCACCGGCTTCTTCAGTGTCAGCTTGTGACTCTCGGTCACAGGCGCTGTCAGAAGTCACCACTTCGTCACTTCTGGAAAACCATTCATTAACTTTCTGAATGCTGCTGTTCAGTGTGACCCAGGGGACATCCTGGGCCTCCCTGAGTCTCTCCGGATCCGGGGCCTTCTGCTCCTTCTCTCCTCTCACACAGAGGGGCTCAGTGCCCCACTCTGCCTTCTGCTCTGTGCCAGGCATCTGCCCATCATCAGAGCTCTCCGTGCCATCAGCCCATCTGCTCAGTTGGCTCCTTGCGAAGCCAGGCTGTTTGCTTTTATTACAGAATTCAGCCTTTTCTACATCCATTCTGTCTTCAGTGAGTAGTAAATGGCTGTTCTCGCGCTGTAATGAGCTGGCGCGAGTCTCAGTGCCACATGGCTCCACGCGCAAGTCTGGAACACGGCCACCCTGGTGCTTTTCTGGACGCCTCTCGGCGGCACGCTTCTCCACAGTGCTTGCATTGGTGCTGGGCCGCGGACGGTCGGGGTCTGCGGCGCCCTTCTCAGAAACCTCACAAGCAGCTGAAAATATACAAAAATAATGAGGTGCTTAAACAATGACCTATGGAAAAAACAACTTGTGAGTGGAAATCAAGCAACTAGCTTAAGAGAAACTACCTTCACAAACTACCAGCTCCATTTTCAAGACGAATTTCCCATTCTTCCATGTAATTCCTACTTACATAGATTCTCATTATTCCTAATCAAGATAACTACAAATCTAATTTTAGAGTTTTCCCTATATACAAGCCATACTGCTCACTCCTCCAGCCTGAGAGTGAATCAAGGCACCGTGTTTGGTTCAGAAACAGCACCATGATCTGTCTACACACGCATACTCCCTGTATTCAAAAAACAGTTGGCAAAAGATGAAATACAAACACATCAATTAAAAATAAAGGGCACCAGGTGTGGGGGTGCACACATAACCCTAGCACTCGGGAGGCTGAGGCAGGAGGATCGCCTCAAATTTGAAGCACTCCTAGGCTACACAAGACCCTGTCTCAAAAAAAAAAAAAAAAAAAAAAAAAAAAAAAGAAAAATGAAGGGCAGCAACCAGTTGCATGGGTATTCATGTACTCACACCCAACATCCCGTGGAAGCACAGGCTGTCCAGGACACCCTGAGGAAGCACCACATTCTAACTCTGCCAAGAGACCTTGAATTAGAAATGTCTTGCTGGGCGTGGTGGCACACGCCTGTAATCCCAGCACTCAGGAGGCTGAGGCAGGAGGATCGCTGTGAGTTCAAGACTAGCCTGGGCTACATAGTGAGTTCCAGGTCAGTCTCAACTATGAGTGAGACCCTGTATCAAAAAAAAAAAAAAAAACCCAAAAAACAAAGAAAGAAATGTCCCATTGCTCCCCAGAATAATCTAATCCCAGCACTGTACCTACCTCCCCAGTACCCAGTACAGTGGGAAGACTCACCATTACCCTGTTTCACAGAATCCAAACTGGCTTCAGATCTGGTTCCTTGCGGGGTGAGGAGCAACACACTGTGGGGAAAGCACAGAAGCCCTGTGGGACCGAGTAAGGGGCTCACACAGGGCGAGATGGAGCGTGGAAGTGTTGGCCCCTCTAGCTGGGGCCACATTAGCTGACAACAGACACTGCCCCACTTCCCCTGCTCACTCCAAGCAACTCCTAGTCACAAGAATTTTACCATTGGCGAAAAGTCATTTTCAAACAAAATCGGAGTGACTGCGACACCATCCTAATCCAGATAATTAATGACAGATCCTAGTCAGGGCCAAGCAGTAATTCCTAAGGAAAGCAGTCTGGCAGGTGACCCACTGGGGACTGCTTACAACTTACTCTAATTTATATGGACAATGTTTGAGAATTAAGGGACAGAGCAAAGAGAGCAGAAAGTGGAGTCTGCTAGTATTTTCATCATCAGCCACAATTTCCACGGCAAAATACTACTGCCTATGAGGAATTCAGCTAAAGAAAATGCCTGCCAGAAGCAAGTGTGTGGAGTCCCACTGTTACCTTGCACTCCTGTGAACACTGCTGATAAATGTAACAAGCAAGAAGGCATGTGCTCAGCTACAGAGCAAGGAGAGGAAACCACATGATGGCTAAGGTTTCCTCTAATACCGTGGTTCAAATCCAGAAAAAAGCTAATCCTTAATATTAACAAAGTATGAAAATACCAGCTCTGTGGACAGAGGCTTCTCATTCCTACCTGAGGTGATTCTCCTCATTCACTGTGTCTCCAGAGGAATCCGATCCTGAAAGAAGTGTCCCAACCCCCAAAACATCAGAAAAGACTGTCTTTAATCGAGAGGGTTAAAACAACAACAAAAAAAGTACTTGCTGCAAAACACTCATTTATCTAGAAGTCTTTCTAAGGACTTGCTATGTGCGCCTGAGGAGCAGGTGAGGGAGCCAGCTACCAGGCGTGATCCCATGGCTCCTCAACTTTGGGCAAATGTCCACGACACTCTGAATTTCTAAATTTCAGTGCAATCCAGGTGGTGCGCAGGAGCTCGGGAGGGTCACCCTGCCCAAAGGCGCTCTATCGGTAAAGCCGGTTAGAGTTCCAAGTTCCTCTTACAAGCCCAGCTCTTGGGCCAGGGATTAACGCAGTGGTGCTGTGTCTGCCTGCCAAGCGCAAGGCCCTGAGTTCAATTCCTACCATGGGGTGGGGAAAGCCCAGCTCTTCCCAAGAGTGCAGCTTAGCTTGACTCCTCCAAATGGGACTTTCTTATTGTGACTTCTCATTTTTCCAAAATTCATTTCTCTCTCCTTATAACCAGATATTCTTCCTCTTGCTCCTTTTATAAAGTAAGGTTCTACAAGGTGGATATTGTATCTTTTACATTATTTATAACTCAACACAGAGCGCATAACATCACTGCTTTTATTTCCCAAACCTCCCTGCCAAATGAATAAGGACGACCAAGGTTTTCAGCAGAGCTGTGAGACAGCAAGCCAGTAACCATCACTGTGGACTTCTGGAGCCCATGGGTCTTACCCAGTCTGATGTAGACAGGTTTATTTCGAGGCTGCACCTGCTGCTTAGTCCTCAGAGACTTCATGATTCCGAGGTCAGACAGCTGGACCCCAAGACTGGTTTCCTGCTAAGTGGTAAAGAACAGTTACCACTGGTGGCTTAGCTCTGTGCTTCATTCCTAAAGAGAAACCCCAGGCCATGGACAAAACTATCAGTCAGAAGGGTCAGGACCCCCGGGAAAACACCTGGCAAAGCATACCCTAAAATGCCTAGGTTACACGTGTGTTCAGTATTTTTTCCCTCTCTTACTTAAAAATTTTCAAACTGTGCATTATGTATGATCTTTTGAAATATTAACATATAATGTTTTAAAGCTAATACTTGAAAAGGACCGGGAGCTAGGATAAAACAAATGCCAAAAAAGGATAAATGAACTGAGTGTGGTGTTGCACAACTGTAATACCATCAACTTGGAGGCTGAGGCAGGAGGATTTCGAGTTTGAGGCCAGCCTGGACAACACAGTTGGACATTGTCTCAAAAAAAAAAAAAAAAAAAAAAAAA